GTCATGATAAGAGCTACCCAGAATGATTAACCCTGAGCCATGGAGCAGGCAAACAGTAATTTTACAGGCAAGAAAAATGTATTCCATGTTGATAACTACTTGTTTTCTGTGAGTCTTGTATATTGTCTACAGCCAGAGAGATGCTGTAGACAATATACAGAAGGAACTAACTCAGATAAATGGACAAATATTGCACCTCCATAAACAAAAAACAAGCACATTGAATTAATACTGAATTAATGTTAAAGGTAGGATTGACATGAAATCTATTTCAGAAAAAGAAATACAAGAGATGCTAGGTATTATACTGAAATAATAATTTCCAACTTAATCCCAATCAAGGAAGGAGACAAGTGTGGCCCATGGGGTTGCCAGAGTGAAAATTGGAAAGAGCACCTTTCCTGTAATATTCAAATAGATTAGCAGATTTCAAGTAGTGGTATGCCAAGTAAAAACAACTGCTGTTGAAATTCCTCTACCATGTAACTATTAAAAGTAAAGCAGCCTTTCCCAGTGTTCTGTATGGCAATATTCGTAACCTGTGGACAGTCTGTGGCTATTGGGACACATTTATGTAACTCCTGAAATTCCAGTCCCTGAATATCAATCAATCCACGCTCAGAAGAAAATTGCCTAAAAACGATGTCCAAAGCCTACTCCAATGCATGCAGACCTGCAAAAAAAAAAAAACCCTCCATAATCCCCCCAATTCCTCAGAACTTATGCCATCTCTCAGACCTTCTTCTTTTGGTTTCATCAAAATGGTGAGAAAATGGTATTTTGGTGTGCGCAGTCAGGGTTGGAAAAATGTCATATACAATTGCCCACCCTTGCAATAAAATAGCTGAAGGTAAAGGTTTTCCCCTGACATTAAGTCCAGTCATGTCCGACTCTGGGGTGTGGTGCTCATCTCCATTTCTAAGCTGAAGAGCTGGCATTGTCCGTAGACATCTCCAAGGTCATATGGCCGGTATGACTGCATGGAACACCATTGCCTTCCCACCAGAGTGGTACCTATTGATCTACTCATATTTGCATGTTATCGAACTGCTAGGTTGGCAGAAACTGTGGCTAACATGCTGCTCCCTGGAATTGAACCCTTGACCATTCAGTCAACAAGCTCAGCAGCTCAGCGCTTTAACCCACTGTGCCACCAGGGGCTCCATTGCAATAAAAGTAGCAGCAGAATTAAAACAACAAATTTAATGTGAAGCAGAAATTGCTGTATCCCATATGATGAAATGCTGGCCAGTCTGCATGGACATTGGGAGGATTCTCAACCAAGTCATTCTGTCAATCCCTCCCAAATCCAGACCATCAGAGCTGCTTTGATAAAGCATAACTTCACACGGAATTCTTGCCAGCTGAAATTATCACTTGAAAAAAAGGATGTGTTTGTCTCTGTGGGTGTGAAGTTTGATTGGAAAAGCTCCAACACATATTGGGTATTTTCTTAATTTGGGTTGTGGAAGGACTTACATTTTATGTTACATTTCAAGACAACTGTGAAAGTACATTGTGGCATGCACGCACACACCAAACATATGTACCAGCAACTATACCACCAGGTGGACCCAAATCTCCAGTTTGAAAGGACCTCTTAGGCATCAGATCACACCCAAAAGTAAGATTAGTCAATAAAAAGATATTTTACTTTCTCTCTAATGAAACACAAAATACTATACAGGATTCCCCTCTATTTTATCCCCCAGACCAACCTGTGAGGTATGTTGGGCTTACAATGAATGCAGTGGTGTACCTACAGGTTGAATAGGGACAGTCTCCCTAATTTAAATGAATCTCCTCTGCTTCAGTATGACTCTTTGTTCAATTGATTTTGGAAATCACTGATCACAAGTTATAACCCAAGATACATTATAACTGCAATGCACTGAAGGATGATATCACTCCTTCTGCAATGCAACTCTTTTACAATGACATTTTCTGTTTTGTAGCAAGGATCTATAAGAGTCCATTGTTTCTATCATTCTATGTTAGTGAAAAGAAATACTACTTTAGTTTATTTCAGATAACAATATAATAAAGATTTATTTTTAAAAAAACCTGCAAGTTTAATTGCAGTTGACTCCTTTTTTGGTGGGGCATGGATGCAGAACAAATTACTTTTAAAATTCACATGCCACCAGGTTCTGCATACAATAGCCTGGATCTTAACCAAAACAACAATTAAGCATAACTTTCTAGTTTGGAATCTCTGGGACAGGATAATTATGGTTAATCTTTTACTCCTTTTGACACGGATGATTAATATTGGAATTGTTTTGTCGGAGCAGCTGAAACTAACCTGCTTTGGTTATTTACTGAAGAATCCAACTGATACAGTTACAAGATCTGAATGGTGACACAAATGAGTGAAAAGGGGAGGCTCATGTCCATACAACATGGCCGTTGTGAGAAAATCTAGCAAAAATTAATTATGATTAAACTCCTATTTCTATGTAATTAGCTAGGTTTTTCAGAGCTTTCTTGAGAGAACACTTGGGAAGAGATCATGTTAGCAAATCAGGAATGATGTGATGAACCTCTTCACATGGGGCAAATTTCAGCAGCAACTCTGGTTCTGCAGCAGCTTTCCTACAGAGCCCACCAGCTCCCATCACACACCAGTTCAGAGAAATACTTCCTAGGTGGCTTCATGACAAAACTCCTGTGGAACCAGAGTTGCTACCGAAAAAAAGCAGGCAGAAGCAACACGGGAAGCTTCCTGTTTTGGAATCACTTCAAAGAGGGTTTTGGATTGTTGTTTTTTGCAAATCCCCACAGTTATCAGGCCAAAATTTGTACTTCTGTGCAGAATAATTTCTCAATACCACTTTGGGATGTATAACTATTCAGTGAAAACTGCACACAATTCTAATAATTGATTCTTCTCTGCTAGCTTTTCTGAAACTCCATATTTTGATCAGAAAATGAATGATTGAGACATTTCCATCCCTACCCTCAAGTAGCATGTGCAGTATTTTCATTTTAAATTTTCATTTTAAATTTTCCGGAGAATTCAGATGTCACTACATAATCAGATGGAAGACATCTTGCAGGACTTCTCCTAAGGATCAGACCTTCATAACCATGCTAAGGGTTCATTGTTTCTGAGAAACATGAACATTGGTATTCTAGTTGGTGTCACTGAGGATTGTAGTAGACATTTCTGAGCATGCTGTAGAACAACAACACCTTGTCATGTGTTTTGACCTTAGTGGGTTTACGAGAAATCCTTGAATTGACTAGTTGAAAGTCCCCATACTACCTTCTCTAGTTTAACAACATCACTAATAGAAATTGTTGTTTGTTCCTTTCCATCAGAGAAATCAAGCATAACTGAGTTACTAAATCTGTTGCTGCCATTTGATTAATTAACCATGGGCATAGAGTGGCACCTGTCCCGACTGAAAGGAGGTAACATCAATACTCATAATTAATAATACATTAATCATACAAAACATGAGTGTAGGTGTGTGGGTTTTATATCCATCCATTATAATAGGATGAAAATGTAGCCAGTGAATACATCATCAATAAAGCCACTATACACAAGGGCACAGGAATCAGAAACAAGAACCATATGCAAAACAGAAAGATGATCTTGCAAGCTGACTGCAGGAGTGAATTGTAAATTAATACGCAACATGGCCCCAGAGATTCAAAGTCAATATGTAATTGTCCCGAAAAAGCAAGTAAAATGACACATAACTATGCAGAAAAAATCTGATACAAATCAAAGCAAGGTTTGGATACTGAACATGGTGTTGCATGCACCTATTACATTGCACTAGTCCCTGTGTTAGTGAAAAAAGAAAGATCCTCATTTGAGGCAACCAGAATTGCCCCATGTTTGATTATTTTAATGGATAGTAACACTGAGAAAGTAAAATTCATTTGCTTGCCAGTGTGTCATTTTAATAAAACCACTAAGTAGAAGCTGCTGAAGTTTCCTCCACAAAAACTAATAACAGCAAATTAATCATGGAAACCAGGTAAATTCCAAAGATATGTTTTCAGAAACAGAATGAACAATGATGAAGCAGTCTTTTTCTTAGTAGTAAGAAATGAAAAAAGACCAATACGACAAACCACAGGTTATAAATCACACAACAATTTCTTTATAAAATGATTTGGAGGCAATGTACCTATTATACCTCCACAAAATGTTAATGGTGCTTTCACAGCCTTGTATTAAGTAAATCTCTTGGTATACATGTGTGGCAAAGATTCAGAAGAAAACAACACATCACATCAAATTTTCTCTGCTAAAATCAGCAATGAGCAATCTATGTCACAAAACAACTAAACAATTGGGTGCAGCCTTTTGGAAACACAAGCTTACATAAAATATAGTTCTGCATTAAAATGTATTCATGTCTGTCACACAAAACAATATTAGCACAAGATATTTCTCAAAGATTAAAGCAACAAAGATTAAAACTAAAATAAACATATTCTCTTTTAATCAACATAACTCATCCAGAAAGATTGTAAACTGGATAGATGCATTCTGCTTGAGCCACCAAAAGAAATGAAAAAGCACAGACTCTCAGACTACACATTTCCCAAACATTCTTACTATACAAAAATCCAGGAGAGAGAAAAAAAATAACATAATGAACCTGTCAGCAGAATATCCAGGCTTTTGTCTCATCACAAAGAGAAACAATTGCATCTCACTTTGCACTTGTCATGTGTTTTAAATCCCTCAACAATATGTGCAACTAATTACTGTAATGTGAATACAGGATTCATGGAAACAACAATGCACTATATCATTCTGAGAGCATCTGTACCGTGTTTCTTTCATCAAAGAGGAGTATAATTGCAAGCAAATCTGCATAGTAACAAATGGAAATCCACCAAATACAAACCTTTCCTCTTTTAAAATGAAAGACTCTTCCAATGAGCAGAAGAATCTGAACATAATCTTCTAATACTATAAAGAGGATTGACTGCATAAGGCCAGAACAAATTAAAATCTGATTCTCTCTTACCAAGTACCCCAAGCCGGTAGTTGACGGTGATGACAATCACATTGCCATAACTTGCCAGTACACTGCCATCATACAAATTTCCAGTGCCTTCCATGTAGGACCCTCCATGAATATACACCATCACTGGTTTGGGCCCCCCACTATCTCGAATGTCTGCAAGAAAAACAGTGAGAAATATATTATCTCAAAGAATGCTGTGATGTGCACAGAATTCCTAGTTTGCGTCTTTCTTTTTTCTCTTTTCCCAGGCTGTTTGTTTGAAGTGTTTCCCAAGCAACATATGTGAAATACCACATGATTGTTTGAAGATAACTTTCAAGTTAAAAAAAATAGCTGTCAGCAGATCAGCCATCTCAGTTATAGGAGATTAAGACTTCTCAAAAATGATACACCTTCTCAGGTTAGCAATACTTGCTATCTTTTCAGGGCAGGTTGTTGTGACATTGGCTGCAAATGCATTTGCAGCTATAACCTCTGCAGAGAAATCTGTTTTGCTCTTCATGCGGAGCTTTATGTGTGCTTTGCCTTTGCACTGGGCCTCATCTTGTTGTTGATAGACTTACAATGTGGGTAGAATGCTAAAAAATATGTAGTACATCAAGTTTGTGCAGGCAACTTTACACTTGCTGGATATATTAAGGTTGTCAGTTCAGAAGTATAGTGAGCTTTAAAATTTCAGAATCAAATATCATACCTTGTGTCATGACAGCCTCTGGGGATGTCACATGAAGAAAGCCATGCTACTGTCACAAGAGGTAGGATCTGGTGATGTCATTAAGCATGATATATGAAGTATCAACCATAGTTTGCTCAAAATGTGGGGAAGTATTCTATGTCAGCTACTTAACTATATTTAACAAAGTAACCCCTTCTGGTCCATCCTTTTTCAAGCCTTATGAGTGTCATTCACTCATGTTCCAGTCACAGCCAGAATAGACTTTCTTCTTTGTATTCAGTCAATGCTTTGTAAAACATATTGGTGGCAATAGTAGCACAATCACGATTAAGTAGTTATAATGAATACGAAACAATTACTGTTTTGTAATTGTTTTGTATTCATGATCACAACTTAATCATGATTGTGCTGCTGAAGGTTTGTTGGTGACTGGACACAAAGACACAGACAGCATGGCTCTATGGATAGGTGTCACTGTCAAATACCATTTAATTGCCATGGTTCCATCCTATGGACTCCTGAGTTTTGTAGTTTGTTTTATTACTCCTCCAGGACTCTCATTCCATATAGTGTTGCAAGACTTCTTCCTTTCCTCATGGATTCCTTCCCAATTCATATGTATATTTCTGAAAACAGATGTGTATTTGAACACATTTTTCTATAGCATGCATTTTTGCATGTGTTCTTTCCATTGACTTAAATGTATTAGAGCACTTTTTAAAAATATGTGCATTTTAGTGATGAGCATTTTGCAAACATCCTGACACACTGGCATCCTGTTGGTGAATTCTGACAGTGTAAGTCATGCTGTTTCCAAATCACTGCAATGTTTGGAAGTTTGTTCCAAACACGCAGTGACCAAAATAATCCTTTCAAACCCACCCTCTTAGCAGAACAGTCCCCTGCCCACTTGCCTCATGGATTACTTCCCAATTCATATGTATATTTCTGAAAACACTCTTTCCCTGAATCTACACATAATGCAAGGATGTCATCTGGAGGGATCTCTTTGGGGTGCCAAGTGCCTGATGGTTCTTGACATGTTTGTTGTAGCATGTTCAATAACAGCAAAATAGTGGGACATATGCCTCTGATGACATGGAAATGACTGTGTTGTGTATGACTATGCTCCTTACAAGATGGGGTTTGATGGAACAGAATATGAAGCCTGGACGTGTCTTAATATAATATAGGAGGGATTTTTTTTTAAAAAAATGCAAAGTATAGCAAGACTTAGGAATATATTGGGTTTTTTTCCATATTGCTAGTCTCAGGATGGACAAAATTGTTATTTTTATATAGCAAAATGTGACTCTAATGAATCCCTCCACCTCCAATCTCTAATAAGTGGTCATCCCTGGGGCAGTCAAGAGCGCTGGATGAACCAATAATTATACAGTTCTTATGTGAAGCTATTTATATTTGCCTCTGCAAGAAAATGTTTGTTTCTGACTCTCAAATTTCAACAAAGAGCCTGCAGAACCTTTCAGGTACCTTCCAAGCTATCAATGGTTCTTTACCTATGGGCTTGTCTTCTTATTTTCTGTCATGGACATAAAATGAAAGCATCAATAATAAATTATTAATTTGAACCTGCTAAATGACTGTTCGCAGCAGAACTGTATATGCCTAATTGTATGCTTGGAGGTAGCACAGGAGGAGATTGTTTAAGAATTCATCTTTAATTAAAATTACATAGTATTACAGAGCACCAGCTGTGAATAGTAATGGAATCCGGCTAGTACCATTTGGTTTATGTGGGCAAAAAGATTTAAGATCCTTGGGTATTTTTGAAGGAATAGGGTGACTTCTCTAAAAGAAAAGTATGAATGTATATATGTACATGTGTGTGCACCAGGTTGTGTGTGTGTGTGTCTGTGTGTGTGTGTGTGGTGTACACATTGAAATGGAGGGAAGGAAGGGGTGGGGGGGGAGAGAGAGAGAGATAAGTAAGCACTTGAATATTTTTGTCTGATGTACATGTGTGTGTGTATTGTGTGTATTTATATACACACAGAGAGACTTAACATTGCAACATAAAGCTGAGTTCAAGATATAAAAGATTCTCTGAATAATTCAGCCTATATAATGCCTTTTTTATGACTTCATTCAGAATAATATGCTCCAAAAGGTTAAGGACAGGCAGTACTGCAAACTCCTCTCAATTTATCCACATGCCAGAGCAGATAAGAATAGAGATGATATAAATTTTCTTCACGCTACACTGTCAAAGATCTCAGCACTGACCTACAGGAATTCCACTTCTTCTGTGAACAGAGAGATTGTTCTTTCCTCTCCAAAACAGAGAATACTAAGAAAAATACTCTTGGGCATTCCAAATCCCTAGTGGTTTGAAAGAAGATAGATGCAGCATTCATACATAAATTCTGAGCCATGATGTAGTATTACTCAAAGAAGGCCTTCAACTTAGTCCCATTTCCTAGTTTCTCCATTCCTGCTTTTGTGTGTGCAGTGAAACACTGTTTTTCCTTGATAAGAGAATAAACTGTGGCTAAGCCATCAAATATAAATTCAGAACAATATAAAACATTGCATTCTGCAGGGAGAATACATTTACACTCATATAAGATGGAAGGCACCTGCTTTGACAAGAATTGAGACTACCAGTAGGAAACAAGCTAGCTGTAGCTGTATAATATCGTAGCTAAACTATGAATGAAATTCTATGTTGCATCAAGACACAGATAATATCAAGTTTGCTGAAAAGAATGGTATTACTCTATTCTGAATGGACAGACCTCATTTAGAGTTTGTGCACCATGCTGAAATTTGTTCCTACAAAAGTGACAATGATGGTGGGTGGCCTGGAAATCAAGTTCTATTAAGAAAGGTTTGAGCAGTTGGGTATATTATGTCTACCAAAATAACAAATGAAGAGATTTTATATATCAGTCATCTTTGAATATCTGAAGACATATCATAAGAGATTATGAGGATTTTCTATAGCTTCAGATTGCTTAAATTACAATAATTGATTATTAGGAACTAAATATTGGGAAATGCTTCCTGAGACTGGATTCTGCTCCATAGTGGTGACGACTGACTTGGAAGCTGATGGTTTCTCCTTAAGAGCACATGGTCAGAGATACTGTAGGACCATGTTTTCCTACATTCCCAGCCAACTGGACTGAATAATCTTTGAACACTATGATTTCAGGGCCAGGGATTTGTGCACTTCCCTACAAAAGTAGGCAAACGTACTATCTGTGTTTTGTTGAATGCTTTCAGTTTAAAGATGCAGAAGCAGAGGTGTGTGCCATTGTGTATCTGCACAACACATTTTGGTGCATATGTGCATTGAACATATGTGCATTGAACACATGAGCATATGTACAGAAGTGCATGTAATTTCATATTTTGTTGTTGAGGGTTGCAATTCACTTAAAGATGGCATTGCGTAACTCTATGAACATAAAATTGTGCTGTATTTCTCAGTCTAGGATCTTGGCCTATGTCTCTGCAATTCATGGTTGAGCAATCACACTGTCTCTGCACACTCGAATAACCTAAATTGTCCTCTAGGCAAATCATAGCTTGCTCATTCAGACAAAAGCGGAGGAGTCGGCAAACCAACTGCATGTTATACCTGACCTGAAATAGACTCCCAAATTTGGCAACCTGGTTTTCTGGCAAGAAACCAGACATCACATTTTATTTCTTTGAGGCATGAAAATAGATGGTGGTGTGGAATACTTTCTACTATAGTGTCTTCCCCTTCTTTTTTTCTTCTCCTTTGTTTATTTATTTATTTATTTTGAATGAGACAGGTAGTGCCTAAAGCATTCCCAAGAAGAGACATCCAGAGAACAGTCCTTCTTTCTGGCAGCAACTTGACAGTTGAACTTTCCCCCAAGGGAAATCAGCATAGCTCCATACTTTCCGAGTTTTTAGTAGGCAGCAAACATTTTGCTGTTTCACATGACCTTTGGTTCATAAAATAAGAAGCTGTTTTGAATTGTTTTTTGGAAAAATTGAAAAAAAAACTTAAACAATGTTTTTAATAATGTATTTAATGTTCCAAATGTACATTGCCTTGAGGGAGCAGAGGCTGGTGGATGGACAAGGAAAAACAAAAAGAAAGAAATAATTAAGTATTGAGGGGAAACCCACTTTCCAAATACGTTTTCTAGAGAGGAAATTCAAAAACAGGTACATATACAAATACATATTATAATTGTGCATTGGACTAGGGTGATCTGGTTTGTTGTTGTTGTTGTTGTTGTTGTTGTTGTTGTTGTTGTTGTTGTGTGTGTGTGTGCCTTCAAGTCATTTTTGACCTGTGGTGACCTATCATAAGGTTTTATTGGCAACATTTGTTCAGAATGAGGTTTCCCATATGAATCAGCTTATGTGATTTTCCAAGACCATCTAGTGGATTTCATAGTTGAAGGGAGATTCAGACCCTGATCTCCAGAGTTGTAGCCCTACTATTCCTATGGTTGGGAAAGGTTATTGA